CTGCTGGTCAGTTCCTCCTGGCTCTTTGGCCTCCTGGCAGTCAACCACAGCATCCTGGCTTTCCACTACCTCCACGCCGGCCTCTGTGGCCTCCAGGTAACCCTGACACCCTTCCCTGCCCCTGACCCCAGTGGATGTTCAGCAGGCTGGGCCCAACCCCAAGCAGGGCATTGACCCTAGGCCTGTAGCTGACTCTTTTTGGATGACTGTTATCAGGCCAGACACTGGCCCTAGCTGCTGACCCCTGGCCTAGAGATATGGTCAATGAGGTCAGCAGCTGAGCCATGTCTAACTACACACTGACCCCAGACTGGGTGTTGATCTTGGACTGGCCTTCACCAACACTGAGGTTCCAGGCCCCTCGCTGATCCATACTGACCTTTACTGACTCCAGTCTCTCATGCTACTTTGGCCTCTGCCCCTGCTGACCTTGTCTGATCTCCTTACTTACCCCACTGGGCTCCTCATTGTGTCACACTAACCTGAAGTGACTGGCCACTGCTGACGCACAGGACTTATACTAGTCCCTGGTGGCCCCCTGCTGGCCCTACTACCACCTCTTCTGACTTTGATATATATCTCCCTGCTCCTTGCTAATCCCTCACTGACCTCACACTGACCCTTGCTGACCTACAGGGCCTGGCAGTGCTGCTGCTTTTCTGTGTCCTGAATGCAGATGCCCGAGCTGCCTGGACACCCACCTGTCTGGGCAGGAAGGCAGCACCCGAGGAGGCAAGGCCCACACCTGGGATGGTGAGGGACTATCATGGGCTTGGGGGCCTGGGGAGGCCAGGGTTTGAGGCTTTTGCAGGGCTATATTTCCTGTGCCTGTTTCCCCCAGGGACCTGTGGCCTATAACAACACAGCCCTCTTTGAGGAGAGTGGCCTCATCCGTATCACTCTTGGTGCCTCCACCGTCTCCTCCGTGAGCAGTGCCCGCTCCGGCCGGACACAGGACCAGGACAGCCAGCGGGGCCGCAGCTACCTCAGGTAAGTGAAGGGGCCTCCTCGTGAGGGGCACTCTCAGCTTAGTTCAGCCCCGTGTTACCAAGAGATGGTGGGTGGCTCAGTGGGTAGGGTGCCAGCCACATATACTGAGGGTGGCCGGTTCGAACCCAGTCCCAGCCAGCTAAAATAGCACTGGCAACTGCAACAAAAATAGCCGCGTGTTATGGCGGGTGCCCCTAGTCCCAGCAACTTGGGAGGCTGAGGCAAGAGAATCACCCTAGCCCAGGAGCTGGAGGTTGCTGTGAGCTGTGATGCCACAGCACTCTACCAAGGGTGACAAAGTGAGACTCTGTCTCTAAAAAAAAGAGGTCCTGGGGCCGGGGGCTCCCCCCTTGTGGGCCATCAGGGGCCTTGCAGCTGCCTCTGCCCCAGATGTCCAGGGACACCCTCAGAGACATTCAATTTGCAGCTAGCTTTGTACTTAGACACTCCAGCCTCCAAGCACCCCATTACATCCCCTTTTCATGGAGGCCTCCTGTCTTTCCAGGGACAATGTTCTGGTTCGACATGGCTCAGCTGCTGACCACACTGACCACAGCCTCCAGGCTCACGCTGGCCCCACTGACCTGGATGTGGCCATGTTCCATCGAGATGCTGGTGGAGTTGGGGGCCTGGGTTAGGGAGGAGGAAGGCAGAGGCTCTCTCCCCAATTGATTCCCTTTTCTTCTGCCCTACCCAAACTAGGTGCAGTGACTGACTGGGGTGGGACAAGCTCCCCCCAGGTCACTGCCCCAGAAGGTACCTATCCACCAAGCCCTGATTCTCTCAACCCTCTCCTACCTTGCCCCATGATAAATCTTGGCCCTAATGTACCCACCTCCACTTGAAGTTCTGCCTAGGTCTCCAGCCCCAACACCCTTGCTGTACCCAGGTAGAACCCCAGGTTCTTCCCTTACTCCAAAGTCTCTTACCTCCTCCCCAAGCTCCTGTTATACCCTCTTCCTCTGACTTTCCCAACTGTAGGTGCAGACTCTGACTCCGACAGTGATCTGTCCTTGGAGGAGGACAGGAGTCTGTCCATCCCATCTTCAGAAAGCGAGGACAATGGCCGGACACGGGGGCGTTTCCAGCGTCCACTCTGCCGAGCAGCCCAGAGTGAGAGGCTCCTCACCCACCCCAAAGGTGATGGGAGCCCTCTGAGCTCATGGGTGACCAAGGAAAACCCCATTTTCTGCTTACACATGATGCATGGACCCTGCTGTCTCCTGAAGATGCCTGGGACTGGAACATTGGGAACCTTTGGGGTCAAGCTTGGGACCCCCATGCATGTCTCCCTATCCAGCTTCCTGGAAGTGCTTGGGAGGCCCAGGAATGACCTGGTACAGAGTAATGAGGTCAGGGATATTACGGAGGCATGTTATCCCTCTAGCCCCCACTCTTCCCTGCAGGTTAGGGTATAGTCTGGCCTTCCTAATCCTGAGCCACTAGGTTCTTCATTCCAGTCTCTAGTTAAGGGGTACTTATCAAGAACCCCCTCCCTGGGTGGTTCGACTGGTCTCTGAGGACATGCCCTCCTATTCCCACATCTGCTCTCTGGGACCAGCCAAGGCTTCAAGGGTCATTTGGATCAGCCATCACTGAGTCTGAGTTACAGGGGTCATGAGTCACTGGGGTCAACCCAGAGGCTCTTGTAACCTGCCCTGGCTCCACAGATGTGGATGGCAATGATCTCCTGTCCTACTGGCCAGCCCTGGGGGAGTGTGAGGTAGCCCCTTGTGCTCTGCAGACTTGGGGTTCTGAGAGGCGTCTGGGGCTGGACACCAGCAAGGACGCAGCGAACAACAACCAGCCAGACCTGGTCCTGACCAGTGGGGATGAAACCTCCCTGGGCCGGGCCCAACGCCAGAGGAAAGGTATGACCCTGACCATTGACCTTCACTACAGGGACCCTGGGGGCTATTCATGCCCTGACCCAGGGGATTTCAGTTAGCTATGTACTTAGACACTCCAGCCTCCAAACACCACATTACATCCCAAAGTGAGAGTTCCTCTTACTCTGATCTGGGGGTTTTTGCTCTCTAGCCTGCTTCATAGTCTCCCTATCCTGACCTGGGAGTGCTCATCCTCCCACACTCTGGCTGGCACCACAGGTACCTCAGGGGCTTCTCCTGCCCCAACCCAATGGATTCCTCCCCTTCTTCCAATTCCAGTTTGTTAGAGCTGCTGCTTCCCTGATCCCAGAGTCCCTGCTCTGATCTGGAAGGTTTCTGCTCCCTACCCTGCTTTACATAGATGTTGTCCTTGCCCCAACTCAAGAGGTTTCTGCCCTCACCTTTGTATCACAAGGACTTGGGGACTGCTTTTGCCCCAACCCAGGGGGGGTTTTGCACTTTTGACCCAGTCCGACATTGCTGGGACCTGGGGGCTGCCCCTCTCTGACTTTGTGGGGGAGGTTACCCTCACCACAGGGACTACCTGTGCCCTGATCTGAAGGATTACTATCTCCTCACTCAGGACTCCCCTGTCCTGCTGCCTTTCTTTCTGGGACCTCTAGGGTTGCTTTTGCCCTTCCCCAAGGGGTTTCTGCTCCCAGTGCTCTGTCACAGGGATCCCAGGGCTACCACATCCCTAGACTCAAAAATTCCTGTTTATCCTCTCCCAGCGTACACACGCTGTCTCCCATTTTGTTCCTCCCGTAGGCATCCTGAAGAACCGTTTGCAATACCCACTCATGCCACAGCCTCGAGGTGCCCCTGAGCTGTCCTGGTGCCGTGCAGCCACCTTGGGCCACCGTGCTGTGCCAGCTGCCTCTTATGGTCGCATCTATGCTGGCGGGGGCACAGGCAGCCTTTCCCAGCCAGCCAGTCGCTACTCTTCCCGAGAACAGCTGGACCTGCTCCTCCGGCGGCAACTGAGCCGTGAGCGATTAGAGGAGGCCCCTGCTTCTACTCTGCATCCCTTGAGCCGGCCAGGTTCCCAGGAACGCATGAACACTGTACCAGGCCGCCTGGAGCCAAGAAATCGGGGCAGCACCCTGCCACGGAGGCAGCCACCCCGGGACTACCCTGGCACCATGACTGGCCGCTTTGGGTCACGGGATGCCCTGGACTTAGGGGCACCTCGAGAGTGGCTGAGCACACTACCCCCACCCCGCCGTGCCCGGGATCTTGACCCACAGCCCCCGCCTCTGCCCCTGTCTCCTCAGCGGCAACTCTCAAGGGATCCCCTCTTGCCATCCCGGCCTCTGGACTCTCTGTCTAGGAGCTCGAACTCTCGGGAGCAGCTGGACCAGATACCTAGCCAGCACCCCTCACAAGAAGGCCTTGGACCACCGCCACAGCTGCTCAGAGCTAGGGAAGATCCAGTCAGTGGCCCCAGCCATGGCCCCTCCACAGAGCAGCTAGATATTCTGTCCTCTATCCTCGCTTCTTTCAATTCCTCAGCCCTCTCCTCTGTGCAGTCCTCAAGCACACCCTCGGGCCCTCACACTACTGCTACTCCTTCTGCCACAGCTTCTGCACTTGGACCTTCCACACCACGGTCTGCCACCTCTCACAGTATCTCGGAGCTGTCACCAGACTCAGAGTAAGCATGGTCCCGCCACTTGCTCACACCTTTGTCAGCTTAGGGCAAATTCCTGTGTACCCTCCTGGTGTTCTGCCATGAAAGAGGGCAAGGGTTGGCAGACAGGTGTGGGCTACCCCCAGCTCACACAGCCAGGGGCCAGGTCTGGCAGGAAATGGGGGTGTGACCAGCAGGGAAATGCCAGCCAAATGACAGAGCCAGTCACCCTTCCCTGCACCTCCCAGGCTAAGTAGAAATAGGTGCCTTCCCAAGGACTTGAGCTAGTGGAGGCAGAGGATGGGTCAAGGCCTAGAAGTAGGAGGTAACCTGGTCAGTGCAAGAGGCTGAGGGGAGGGCAGGAGGCTTAGCTTAGGGGGTTGTAGTAGATAAGGAGGGGCCAGAAGTGGTGCCAGGATATGCCAGGCTGAAGAGTTAACTTTATGGGAGGGAAATCATTTGTTCATCCATTTAGTCAGTTGATATTAAGTTCTTCCCATCTGTGGGCACTGTGGGATGGAGCTCACAGGTGCCAATGGGGCTTCCATGGGGAAGGAGATGGCAGACAGATGGGAAGTAGCTGAGTACACAGGAGTCAGAGGAGTGGTGTGGGTGGGAGGACCCAGGAAATCCTAGGTCTTGAAAGTCAAAAGGAGAGGTGAGTTTCAAAGAGGAGAAATAGTTGGGCCAGGCCCTGTGGGGGCTTACAGGGTAAGAAATGGCTTTGGGGAGAAGAGGGATTGACAGAACTGAGCAGGACCTTTTGTTGGCAGAGGACCAAGAAAGGCAGGAGGAACAGGGAGCTTGGGGGCTTGGGGCTCTAGAGGGATACTGGGGGTGAGGATGAGAGCAAGCTGACTCTTCCTCTATGTTCCCCTGCAGTCCACCCTTGGGGTCTGTCTGTATGGGAGGTAGGCCAGAACCCAGCAGGAGTTCAGGCTCTGGAGTCACACACGCCTGAATTTGAGTTCTGTGTCTTACTTCATAAGCTGTGTTCTCTTGGGAAGGTACAAGCCTCTCTGAGCCACAGTTTCCTCATCTGAAAAAGGGGTCTGTAGTAACAAATTCTTAGAGATGTGCAGAAGATTTATGAGACAATATCTGTCAAGTACTTAAAATAGCATTGGTACAAATGGGTGCTTTTGAAGCACTTAAAGATATAGGTGGCCAAGGAGCCTTGCTGATGAGTCTGGGGGTCCAGAATGGATGGAGTAGAGTGGGCATGAGGGGCACAAGAGGGCTAGGGCTGAGACGTAGAGGTAATGGTGGAGGTGAGGGGAGGTAGACTAGGCCAAGTCTGGTGGGGGAACCGAGAACCATTTGACTTAGAGTCCTCTCAGCATTGACCTTTGATTTCCACCCACAACTCTACAGAGTTCCCAGAAGTGAGGGTCACTCCTGAGGGGCCAAGCAATATGGATGAGAAACACTGAAGGCAATGGAAGATTTGGGCTAACAGAAAAGATTCCAGGAGTGGGGGCTGATCCCAAGGGAGCCTTCTACCCCACCTCGAGAGCTCTGCCCACTTCAGGAGTGCTGAGGTTCCATGCGCATCTGTGAGCATGCGTGTGGCAGATGCAGGGATGGGGAAACTGAAGGGAGGACTTTTATACATTTTGTACCTTTGTAACCAGAGAGATATGCTTATGTTATTTTTCAGCTTTTCTGTCTCCCCAGGGTCTGAGGTTGGGCTGGAAGGGGGAGGGGGACAGAGGAAGAAAGATGTAGAGTTTGGCCCCATGTGGGTCCCTAGCAAACCATATGCTCTTTTTTCTCATCTTAACTGGGATAGGTAGAATCAGGCAGATAGGACAGATGCCTTTCTCCGCCACCACCACCAGGGTGGATCTGAATATTGCCAGGGGCCCAAGTATAAAATTGTTCCTTGCTTTTTTTCAAATGCCCCAAAGGCCAAACTTCTGGGACTGGGGATTGGTCTTGGAAACAGGGGTCCTCTGGCTTCCTCCCAGGGGCTCACTCATGCCTCTCCTCCCTGTGGATGTGTGTGTTTATTATGTGGAGTCCCTACCACTTACTGCCTTATGACCTAGGACTGATGCTGTGGGGCACTGGTAGAGCTGCAGATGTCGTGTTTACTGAGCAACGCTTCCTTGGCTCCCCTGGGGGGGCTTAGGCCTCTAATCAGACATTCCTGCAAAGGGTGGGGAAAGGTCACTTACCTGCCCCTGCCCCTGCCCCTGCTGTGAACAAAAGTTGTCTGTGGTGCCATTTGATTCCCTGACACTGCTCCCTGCTAGAGTTTACTAGGAAGGGTGGATTGGTAGGGTGAGCAGAAACACAGGAAATCAAGACCCAGAATGTAGGTGCCACTGCCTCCCATGTTTACAGGATGCTCCCTGGCCCTAGGCACCCGGGCTGCAGGAAGTGACCCAGTTCCACTACTCCTTTATTCCCTTAAATAGGGAAAAATGACTGTTAGGACCCTGTTCAGGAAACTCTCACTTTTGTTACTTTGTCTGATGTCTAGATCTGGGGACTTTAAATTTTTTGTTACTTTGTTTACAGTTAGAGATTTAAAACTTTTTAAATTTTGTTTAGGACTTAAAACTTTGAACTTTCACACTTTGTTTACAGTTGAGAATGTCCCCCCCACCTTTGTTTACAATTAAAAGATAGGGAATGTGAGAGAGGGGCTTGGAGGACCTACCTGTGAAGACTCTGGACCTGGCCATCTTGAACTCTCCCAGGCCAAAGGTCAGCCCTGAGTCCCCTGTCTAACAGCAAACCCAGAAGTCCTCAAGAGTAGGCACCCTCTGACCACAGGGGATAGTGGTTGTGTAGGGTTGGGAGATGGCCTGTACAGACACCTCCTCACCCCCCATTCCATGCATACTCTTGGGGAGTAGTTTCCTAGGAGATTAAAAATTCTACTTCACTGATGGGTGCCAAATCATACCAGCCAGGACCCAAGCTCTCCTTACCCAGAATGATCCCAGCCTTTGAAGGGCTGAGTGGCCTCCTGAGGGTGGGAGGGTGTCCTTGCTACGTCCTAGGTTTTGTAGATGCCTCTCTCTGGGGTTGCCCCCATCTAGCCCAGTGGCCCCTTTTCCTGTCTGTGTAAATTGTTCCGTGAAGCCGCGCTCTGTTTTGGGAATAAACTTCTATAGAAAACAATTGTTGCCTTTTTCTGTTGTGGGGACCAGGGTAGTGACTGAATGATTCAGGCCAGACTGACCTTAGGGAGGAATCTGAGCCCCCTCCAAAAATATCTAGCTATTTTTAGCCCATTTCATCCTAGATTTGGACCAAGTTCCCATTTTCACCCTGAAACCTGGTCCCTCACCTTGTGATTGGGGCCTGAAGTTGAAGCGCAAGTGGTGGGAATAAGATGCCAAGGGAAGCTGTCTTCTCTGGTCAGGGCAAGGGCATAGAATGTTATAAGTCTTCGAGGTCTGCAGTCCTGTCCTGACGTTTTACCCCTGGCCCAAGAGTCAAACCACTTTCCTGCCTTGCCCGCTGACAGCATTGATTCCCACCAGTCTCTACAAGCTGGAGCTAGGAGGACAGTGTTTCCCCGAGGTTCAGGCAGGAAGGAACCTTACTGCTGCCTGTGCTGTGCTTTGTTGGGGGTGGGGGAAGGAGATCTTCGCGGCTTTATTTCTGGCCTGGGTGGTCAGAGTTGAGAGGAGGCCTTGGGGACCATCTCAGAGACAACACGCCTACCTCCAGAAGGGAAGCTCGAGGGTAGCGCCCTAAGCTGGAGGCATGAGAAGACCCACAGATGCTGTACCCATTGGGTGCTTTTGAAGCACTTAAGGCTGGATCCAACAAGAGTTAAGGCTGGGATCACCTGACGCACCCCAAAGCCTCCTGATCATCTGCGGGTTTCTCCTCCCCACTCCGCAAAGCCAAGACCTAAAAGCAGCTCCATCCGACACAGGGGCTTAAAGGCGCGGCTAGAGGCTGCCCAGCACGTCCTTAGTTCAGTTCTGCAGTCCCACCGGGCTTGGGGAAATGGATAGGAGGAGCTGTGAGGGAGAGCGTTACCCAGATAGGCCTCTGGGGAAGAAGGGGTTAAATCTCCTGCGAGGCTTCCCAGAACCCCAGGAGCTCCTCTTAGGCCCCGCCCCTGCATGCTGATAGGCCCAAGCTTTTCCCGTGCTGCCCTGGGACGAGTCGTCCCCCTGCACGCGCCTAGCAGCTGGCTGGGCGCTGGCTGCTGGCGCCTAGCGGCCCACAGCCGCCCGAAGCTGTATCTGTTAGGAGCAGCCGCTGGGCGCTTGCCAACCATGGGGTTGTCGGAGGCATCCGGGTGAGTGCAAACCTCCGCCTTGGTTCTCAGTGTCCGCCGGTGACCCCGCGCTAACGCCAGGCCTGGAGCTGGCATCTCCCGCCTGCGACGCCTCGGTTTACCTCTTAGTAGATTTTCTGCAGGCGATTGCCCATTTGCGGCAAAGAATGGGACGGGATCCAGCACGACCCCAGCCCTTGCGGGCTGTGCGGGAAGCTAGGGAGTGCTGCCCAAGTGCTAACCCGGGGCTGCAGGGAGGCAGCTGCATGTGGTAGAGCCCCCGTCCAGGAATTGTGCGGGTAGGGTGCTTGGGGGCCTGAAGTCGCTGAGAGAGAGTCCCTGGCCGGGGCCTGTGAATTAACTGCTTTCACCTGGGATTCCGAGTCTATCTGGGTTTACAATTTACTGGGTAGTGAGGTCTCCCAGCCCTTTTGGCCCGGGCGCCCTCCTGGGGGGAGGGGCCAACGATCCAGGCTCCGCCCCTGAGCGCGGATACTGGGTAGTGTGGGAGGGAATTCTTTAAAATTACGTGGGGCGTCTCAGGAGAGGAGTGAGGGGGCTCTAAGATCTCCTGGAAAGGGCAGAGCCAAGACCTCTGAGGATCTTCCTTGTACCCACTCCACTTTCTCCTCCAACCGGGACGTCCAGGTTAGCAGTCCTTCCCAAGTAAGTTCCTGTCCCTCAGGTAGGATCCTCTCTCCAGGTCAGAGCTAGACCAGAACTTTCTTGACAGATGAAAGCTTTCCCCAAGTAACATCCCTCCTCCCCCCACCACCGTGAGATATTTCCAAGTAAGTACTTTCTCCCAGTCTATGTGGGAGCCTCCCCGCCAGGTCAGAGCTTCCCTCCCCTAGGTGAGAGTACCCCCGAGGTAAGACCCCTCTCCCCCAAGGTCTCTTATTCCCAGGTAAGATCTTTCTTCCACTTCAGGTAGAAACCTCTGGGTAAATAAGCAATTCCTTCTATATCAGAATTTGCCTGCCTGGTGAAAGCTTTCCTGGAAGGTCAGGTGAAGCCTTTCTAGGTGAGATTCGTCCTATTCTCAGGTAAAATCTTTCCACCACTTCAAGTGGATACTTCCCTTATCTATCTGAGAGCCTCTCCCTCTAGCTGAGAGCTTCCTGCTCCATGAAAGATCCTTTTTCCTCAAGTGAGAGCCAGCCTTTGGTTTTCCCAGACTAGGCTTGAGCTGTCTAAACCTGGACCCTGGGGATGGAGGCCCAGGGGCAACCTTAGCCTCAATGCAATTCTTCCCTTAAAGGGAAAGGTCTCTACTGGAAGCCTGTGTTTTGGAGAGGAAGCTGCTTAAGGAACTGGACCCATGGTTTGCTACATCTCTTCCCTAAGTGTGCTCTAAGCCAGCCCAGCCAGCACTGGACTCCTGGGGTAGCTGGATAAGGACTTAAGAACTGGACGCAGACTAGCTAGGGGAAGAAAAGGAGCTGGGAGTGTGGTGCCCATAGCTCAGTGGGTAAGGTACTGGTCACATACACCAAGACTGGTGGGTTTGAACCGGGCCCATGCCAGCTAAACAACAATGACAACTACAACAAAAAATAGCCAGGCACTATGGCGGGTGCCTGTAATCCCACCTAGTCAGGAGGTTGAGGCAAGAGAATCTCTTAAGTCCAAGAGTTTGAGGTTGCTTTGAGCTGTGATGCCATGAAACTCTACTGAAGGCGACATAGTGAAACTCTGTCTCCAAAAAAAAAAAAAAGGAAATAAAAAGAAAAGGAGCTGGGAGAAAGGGGCTAGCTGGGTGGTCAGCCTTGGACCCCCAGAGTAGTAGAATGCTCAGGGCTGGGCAGCCATACCTAGGCTATAGGTGTGGGTTATGCTCATCCTGCTGTCCCTTGTTGGGGGACTTTGGCCCAGAAAGACTTTTCTACCAGCCAAAGTTCAAGTACTGCCCTGCCTGGGTGTGGGCATGGGGCTCACTGAGCCAGCTGGGACTAGACCAACTGTACCTTGATCTTGGGACCTTGAAAAATCAGTGGGCGACTCTCTGGTCCCAGGTGGAGTTTTAGGGGAAGTTGGACCAGGGTGTCCTCACTGTATCTCTGTGGTCTCGCCACACCAGACCGAGGGACACACAGGCACTGCTGTCTACAACGCAGGCAATGGAGCTGCGGAGGCGAGACTACCATGTGGAACGGCCACTGTTAAATCAGGAGCAGTTGGAGGAACTGGGGCACCAGGGCTCAGTGCCTGGGACCCACCAGTGGCGAACCTGGTTGCAGTAAGGCCAAGCATGAGTGCGGGTCTGGAGGGTCTGGCAGGGCCCAGGTAGCCCCTTACACATACCCCTTGTGTCCCCAGGTGTTCCCATGCGCGAGCCCGTGCTCTTCTGCTCCAATGGCTCCCAGTTTTGGCCTGGTTGCCCCAGTATCCTGTCCGTGACTGGCTCCTAGGTGACTTGTTATCTGGCCTGAGTGTGGCCATCATGCAGCTTCCACAGGGTGAGCACCTTCGAGGCCTTGGCCTGGAAGCTTTGTGGTCTGTGACCCACAAACCAGGAGTCATGACCTCTGACCCTGGAACTATGGCACCTGATCAGGGCTGGGATTACCCTACCTTTTTGAGACCTTGGCCTCTGAGCCTGCATTGCTATCATCTCATCCCCAGGCTTGGCCTATGCTCTCCTGGCTGGGTTGCCCCCTGTGTTTGGCCTCTACAGCTCCTTTTACCCTGTCTTAATCTACTTCCTGTTTGGCACTTCCCGGCACATCTCCGTGGGTAAGTGGAATCAGGCCTACCCTTCAAGAGGATGCCCACATCTCCCATGGAGGACAGGATGAGAGAGGGCTTAGCAGGGCAGGATAACTTGAGGAAGAGGGCAGTATTAGTCCTGGGTCACTGGGGGGCTAGCCCAAGGGTCATCCCCTGGCAGAACTAGGGGATTGACTATAGGACCACAGATTGATGGTACCTCAAAGCCCTGGGTCTGGGATAATGTGAGTGGGTGAGGCAGCTTGAGGGGCCTGGAGCTTGGCAGAGGCCTGACCAGCTTGAGGCAGACTCTGACCCCTTCCCCACTCCACAAGGAGCTTCTGTGTCCCTATGCCAGCAGACACAGGTGGTGCAGAGTACATGATGCAAGGCCAGCATTTCTAGCCAACCTTAAGAGCCTGTGAACTCAGGATTCACTCTGACCCTGGCCATACCTAACCACCAGCACTACCCCATTTGTATAGCCATAGTCTGAGGATTATTTGTCCTCCCGGCCTCTCTCTTAAGATCAGAGCTCTAGGGGGTGGCAGTGTCCTATCCCCTTCAGGCCTGCCCTGACTGTCCCTGCAGGGACCTTTGCTGTCGTGTCTGTGATGGTGGGCAGTGTGACAGAATCCTTGGCCCCAAATGAGAGATACCTGCAGGCATCAAACTCCACGGTGAACGAGACGGCCAGAGATGCCGACCCGGTGCAGGTGGCCTCCACTCTTAGTGTCCTGGTTGGCCTCTTCCAGGTAAGAAATAGGAGCATGTGTCCTCCCCACTCCCTGCAGCCTCTGCTCTGGAGTTCCCGAGTGTCTGCCCTGCTCTGCCCTCATGCCCTTGCTCTTCACTTATCCCCCTCTGAATCCCATGTGCCCTGAGCTCCTCTTTAGCTACCCCTGGGTCCCTGCCTCTTTTGACTGCCCCTGGTTATCCCACAGGTGGGGCTAGGTCTGGTCCACTTCGGCTTTGTGGTCACCTACCTGTCAGAACCTTTGGTCCGTGCGTATACCACAGCTGCTTCCGTGCACGTCTTTGTCTCACAGCTCAAGTATGTGTTTGGCCTCCATCTGAGCAGCCACTCTGGGCCACTGTCACTCATCTATGTGAGTGAGGATGGGAGGAGGGATGGGTAGGTGTGCCCCCTGGCCTTGAGGGCTGGCTGTGACTCATCCCTCCACAGACAGTGCTGGAGGTCTGCTGGAAGCTGCCCCAGAGTGTGGTCGGCACTGTGGTCACTGCAGCTGTGGCAGGGGTGGTGCTCGTGGTGGTGAAGCTATTGAATAACAAGCTACAGCAGCATCTGCCTATACCAATACCCGGGGAACTGCTCACGGTTTGGATGCCAGGAATGAGGGGAGGGGGGAAAGACAGGTCAAAATGGGTCCCTGCTGTTTGGGCAGCCTCCAGGTATTTGAGGGCCAGCTGCAGTGGGCACAGGGGTGCATTTTAGGGTAGGAGGGGACCACAGCAGAAAGCCCCCATGGTGGTTTCTTCCTACCACTGACAGCATTTCTCCCTGCCAAAGATGTTTGTCTCACCCTGTCAGTGTCTTCTCCCTACCCCTCTGAAGGCTTTGCCCCAGAGTGGTTCATTCATCCCCACCCCAACTCTGATGCCAGCACCTTCATCCCCTGACCTTGTTTTCTCCAACAGCTTATTGGGGCCACAGGCATCTCCTATGGTGTGGGCCTGAAGCACAGATTTGGGGTGGATGTTGTGGGCAACATTCCTGCAGGGTGAGCTGTGGCCCCATCAGGCCAGGGAGGGTTTGGCAGCTAGGCCAGGACCTTTCTTTGACCTCACAGATACTTTTTACAGACTGTTGCCCCCAAAGGCCCCCAGCCCCAAGCTGTTCACAAAGCTTTTGGGAAATGCCTTCACCATTGCTGTGGTTGGATTCGCCATTGCCATCTCACTGGGGAAGACCTTCGCCCTGAGGCATGGCTACCGGGTCGACAGCAACCAGGTCCGGGTGATGCTGAGCGTATAGGAGACATACAAGGGTACAGGGCCCCAGGGGCTGGGGGGAAGGACCAGGTAGAACACAGGGAAATAGCAGATATACGAGGGCCATGGGGGGAACTAAAATTGGGAAAACAGGACATATGGGACAGCACCTTGCCTCTGGGGGCCATTGAGGGGATGGAAGTTGGGGATGGATAGGCCTGGGTACAGTGGGACAGTGATTAGACACTTCTAGGAAGTCTCCTCACACACATTCTCCTTTACCAGGAACTGGTAGCCCTTGGCCTCAGTAACTTCGTCGGGGGCATCTTCCAGTGCTTCCCTGTGAGCTGTTCTATGTCTCGGAGCCTGGTGCAGGAGAGCTCTGGGGGCAACACACAGGTGAGCTTTGGATGTGGGCATGCATCTGTGCACACACTGCTTTGACAGGTGGTCTCACCCCTGCTCCCCTAAGCCCTACTTCCTACCACTGCCACTCCATCTCCGTTTCCCCACCCCACAGGTTGCTGGAGCTGTCTCTTCCCTTTTTATCCTCCTCATCATCATCAAACTCGGGGAACTCTTCCAGGACCTGCCCAAGGTGAGACCACTAGCCAGGCTTCAGATCCTATGACAGGCCAGGGGCTCAGACCAGTTAGTCTAGTCCCAGATAAAGGAGAAGAATACGAGGTTGTGTCCTGTTTATTTTTTGTTTTTGTTTTTGTTTTTTTTTTGAGACAGCATCTCTCTCTCTCTCTCACCCTGGGTTGAGTTCCATGCCATCATCATAGCTCACAGTAAACTCAAACTATTGGGCTGAAGCTATCCTCTTGCCTCAGCCTCCTGGGTAGGTGTGACTACAGGTGCCTGCCACAATGCCTAGTTAATTTTTTCTATTTTTGGTAGAAATGGGTTCTCATTCTTGCTCAGGCTGGTCTTGAACTCCTGAGTTCAAGCAGTCTACCCACCTTGGCCTCCAAGAGTGCTAGGATTATGGGCATAAGCCACCAAGCCCAGTCTATGTCCTGTTTTTCAAGGCTGAGATCTTTGGGACGAAATTTGGGAGTCAAGAGTCAGGGGTTGGGCTGGGCCCGGTGGCTCATGCTTGTAATCTTAGCACTCTAGGGGCCCAAGGCGGGTGGATTGCCTGAGCTCACAGGTTCGAGACCAGCCTGAGCCACAGTGAGACCCTGTCTCTACAAAAAAAAAAAAAAAAGCTGTCTCAGTGCCCGTAGCACAGTGGTTATGGCACTGGCCACATACACTGAGGCTGGTGGGTTCAAACCCAGCCTGGGCTTACTAAACAACAATGACAACTGCAACAAAAAACTAGCTAGGCATTGTGGCGGGTGCCTGTAGTCCCAGCTACTTGGGAGGTTGAGGCAAGAGAATCGCTTAAGCCCAAGAGTTAAAGGTTGCTGTGAGCTGTGACACTACAGGACTCCACCGAGGGCCACAAAGTGAGACTCTGTCTCAATAAAAAAATAAAACACAGGGCAGTGACTGTGGCTCAAAGGAGTAGGGCACTGACTCCATATGCTGGAGGTGGTGGGGTTCAAACCAAGCCCTGGCCAAAAACTGCAAAAAAAAAAAAGAAAAAAAAGGCTGGGCATTGTGGCAGGTACCTGTAGTTCCAGCTACTTGGGAGGCTGAGGCAAGAGAATTACTTCAACCCAAAGGTTAGAGGTTGCTGTGAGCTATGATGCTAGGGTACTCTACCGACGACCACAAAGTGAGATTCTGTATCAATAAATAAATAAATAACAAAAGAGTCAGGGGTTGGAAGTAATAGGTAATTTTAAAAAAAGAGGGGGTTGGCACCTGTGGCTCAGTGAGTAGGATGGCCCCATATACTGAAGGTGGCGGGTTCAAATCCAGCCCCTGCTGAACTGCAACCAAAAAATAGCCGGGTGTTGTGGTGGGCACCTGTTGTCCCAGCTACTTGGGAGACCGAGGCAAGGGAATTGCCTAAGCCCAAGAGTTGGAGGTTGCTGTGAGCTGTGTGATGCCACAGCACTCTACCAAGGGTGATAAAGTGAGACTCTGTCTCTACAAAAAAAAAAAAAAG